ACACACGCACACGCGCACACGCGCACACGCACACACGCACACACACACACACACACACACACACACACACACACACACACACACACACACACACACACACACACACACACACACACACACACGTTTTTATCTCCACACAAACATCATAAAGTTTCTTTAATCAGTCACAACTGATCAGAAACTACAACAGGTCTTCCTCTAATAATCCTCATTTTAATAAACAATAATAATAAATAATATAATAAACAATAATTCAATAATAAATGTAATAATATCGACGTAAAGTTATTGAATATTCACACTTGGTTGGTAATTTAAATGATTAATTGGTTTTTAGAGAATATATTGCAGATTTAACTTCCTGTAGCTCGACGCTACAACGAGCCTACTACAATTCCCAGAATGCAACACGCAGCAGAGACCCTTCCTGAACTTGTTTCCAGTGAAACAGTACAAGCAAAATCAGTTTGCTGGCTGGGATTTTGGTCAAAAGAAAAAAAAAAGTAGTAGTTTTTAAAACACTGATAAGGAATATGATTTAAAATAAATAAATGTCTGATTGATGTTCGGTGAGCAGGAAGGCGTGTCCGGTAAACTTGACGGTTTTTACCTCCGGTGCTTTCGGAGCTGCAGCAGCTTGAAGAGGAGCCGCGGCTGCGACCTCCACAGTTTCCTCCTCTCCTTCTTCCTCTCCTTCCTCCTCTCCTTTTTCCTTTCCTCTCTCCTTTCCTCTCTCCTTTCCTCTCTCCTTTCTTCGCTCCTTCCTCTCCTCCCCTGCTGCTCCTCTCTCCTCTCCGGTACCGGGTCCATCTTTTCTCGGTCGTGTTTCTGTCTTCTTCTTCCCGGTGGAGGAGGACGCGTAAGTCCAGATAAGATAGGCGGCTCCTCCCGCCAGAGCCACGGAGACTCCGAGAACCCCGGTTCCCCTCAGACCGACCATGGCGCTCTCTCGCTGGGTAAACGTTTTCACTAACTGCCGCTGTTTTTAGTTTCCGTTAGTTTCCTTCTCTCCTCCGCAACAAGTGGATTACAAGACAGGAAGCTCAACAGGGACTCCGCTCTCCTCACAGCGCTGTTTCCGGGCTGTTTGTGTTGATGCAGTGTTGAAGTTTCACCACTGGGTGTCGCTGTTGTTCTTTAAAACGGCGCAGAACTCCAGATTTATACAACACAAAATTAACAGTAAAACAAGCAATCTGATTGGACAAGAGGCTCAACGAGTGTGTAGTGAAAACTTTTTAAAAAAAATATTTTTATATTTTTTCGCAGGCTGTTTAACTGTAACATTACAAGTTGTCATATTTCATCACAGATTTTGTTCATCATGGCACATTTTTTATATATATATATATTTTTAAACATACATGAAATAAAATAAAAATCCAAAGAAAAGGTCTGAGGAGAAAAAAGATAATTAAATTAAGATTTAGAAAGAAAAACAACAATACTAGAAAGAAAAACTTTAATGGAAAACTTTTGCGCTAACTGAAACGTAAATAAAACACAGTAACTAATCATAACTTTATTGTGTGTCTACAAAATTAACTTTAATAATCTAATTAGAGAGAAAATGTCCACAGTCATACTGACACATGCTTTATTAGGGGGGGAGGGGACATCAGGAAGTTTGTGTGCACAAAATTGCTTGATGTTTACTTTTTATAGCACTCGATCTCGACCCTGACAAGTCGGCCCATCACATTCTTTATACTCACCGAGACTTTTAAATTTGATCTAATGAAAGAATAGACGATGATCCTTTTTTTCCCTCTGTGTTGAGAGAGAGAGAGAGAGAGAGAGAGAGAGAGAGAGAGAGAGAGAGAGAGAGAGAGAGAGAGAGAGAGAGAGAGAGAGAGACTTCCTTCACCCCGAGGGAAATTTAAAAAAATAAAGAGCAGCAGAGTCGACTGTACGGGTTACTTTTGGTTTTCTTTTTAATTCTTCATGCTGTTAATCAAGGAGAGTGTTAGTACTATGACTTTACAATTATCAGCCTTACCCGTGCTTTAAGTTTTCAATGACTCGCCCCAAGTTTTAGTTTCACTCAAATGTAATGTTAACCTGCAGAAGCATGACCACAGAGTCATTTAAATACTGCCAGAAAACATGAACGCTTGCTGAAAACAGGAACCAGTTTTTCCAATAAAAATAAATAAGACTGGGAAGCCAAACTTTTTTTTTTTTTTTTTACTTCAACAGGCAATTTCAAATGAGTGTAGGACTTTAAATGAAATCAATTTATGAATATACTTTTTTTTTTTTTTACAGAAACTGAATGCAAACTTCAGTGAAACTACTGAAGAAAACAAATTAAAGCATCCTTTCCCCATTTGTGTCCCTGAATGAACCAGAACGATAACAGAAGTACTTCTTTCTGTAGCTTAAATACCCCTTCTCTCCCTTCATGGTCTACCAGCAGCTACCTGGCTGGTCCTTTTCACCGGCACCCTCTCCTTCTGATCCGGAGCACTCAGGAGCCACGCCTGGAGCCGGCTCTCATCCTTAGTCACGCCGAGGTTCTTCCAGGTCCGAGCCCGCAGAGAGGGAGGCCTCCTCGGGTGCACAGCGGCGTCTGCAGCCTCCTGGATGAGCTCGGCTCCGGAGCCTGCAGAGTCCACCGTCTCAGCCTGTCGGTGCCTCCTCGATTTAGACGCCTGCTGGAAGTTAGAGTAGCTCTTCTGCTTGATGGAGGACAGGATGCTGGCTCTGCTCTTGCTGCTGGACTTCCCCCCTCCCTCCTCCTCCTCCTCCTCCTCCTCCTCTTCATCATCCTTGTTTTTGTCACCCTGTGAGAAAGTCTTTTCCTGCCACTTGAAGAACTCCGACATGCATCCTTTCAGTCGTGCGGAGAAGTCTCGATGAGTCATGGTCGCCTGGCTCCTGACCTCCACCGTGCCCTCCTTCAGCTTCTCATACTGGTTCTGGATGTGGGTCAACTCGTCCAGGATGTCCATAGAGAGGAGATCCTGCATGGCGGTCGTCCTCCCGAGAAAGTCTGCACACACCGCTTCCTTTTTTGGTTTCCTCTGCTTCTGGAAGGTGAGGAAATGTGGCATGGCGGTGTAGGAGATGGCTTTGGTTTCAAAAAGTTTTCGATATATGTAAACGACGTCGAAATGCCCAGAGTCCACAGAGTTCTTCAGGAACTTGTGGACCTGAGCCCAGTCCCTCAGAGCCAGTCTGATCTGCACGGGCGGGGCCGTCGGCTGCGTGTGGTAGAAAGCAAACATCAGATACAGACCTCCGACTCGGATCTGGTAGCTGTAAGGAGGCAGGAAGTACTTCATGGCCGTGGCCAGCGTCGTCCTGCAGAACCTCCTCAGCTCACCTTCACCGGACACGCCCAGAAACACATCCGAGAAGCTCATCTCCCTCCAGACAGCCGCAAAGTCCTGATACCTGACCGAGTCGGTCTGCTGGAAACGAGTGAGGAGTTCCTCCACATCTTCAGTCAGAGGAGGGTAGAAGAAGTCCGAGTATAACGGCTCGGCGTGAGGCATCCTGTCGACTCAACAAAAAGAGATCTGATGATGAACTACAACACCTGAAGTCTGAAGGAGCACCGAGCAGGATCACACCACAGGAAGCTCATCATTGGCTTATTACCTTAAAGACACGCTTAAAGACACGCCCACAAGTGGCAGTGTTCAATTAAGGTAATCAACCAATCAGAACACGCTTGCACTGGTCGCTTGAGATTTGATTTGGTTAACTGACAACTGTTTTCTGTTTTGTGAATCAGGTTACTTTGTTTGTTTTTTTGCAGCTATTCTTGTTTTGATATACTGTAGAAATGAAATGTTCAAAGGGTAGGCATAATAAGCCTCGGCTTCATCCTACACCTTTTTTTAAATTTAAATTATTGTTTGTGTTTATGTTTTATGCTTTGTGGTCATGGACCGAAAAAATATTTACTACTACTATTAAAAATGTATTTTGTTTGTATTCGTATAAATGAAGTTAAAACAAGTATCTAAACTCCTCAAAAAAAAGTTAGGAAACATTATTTCAGTCACTTATTTCGCCCCTTTAATAGAACTAATTGGTGTTGTATTTTATATCGTTGGAAAGCCTGATTTGTCACCTTTATATCGAGGTTTAACTTGTAAGGATCGTGCATTCATGGAAAGAGTAACACAGCTAAACATGTGGGTAGCGCCCCAAACACAAATGTGTCAAAAATCCCCTGAAATGTTCTCCTGTTGGTATTCACTGCTGATTTGAGTTTCTTGGTGGAATGGATGATTGAACTCTCCCACAGTAATAAGGAACAAAACAACACATATTGGCCATTTTGACACTTTATTCATTTGCTGTCAATTAGGTGCCGATCAGGTGTCAGTCAAACACCTGTAACTGGAACACACCTGGAGGCACTTGAAGCTCAAATAGAAGATTTCAGGGGATTTTGGCAAAAAGAAAAATTAGGGTGCTACCCAAACGTTTAGCTGTGTTGCTCATTCCTCAAATGCATGATCCTTACAAGTTATACCTCGTTGTAAAGGTGACCAATCAGGCTTTCCAACGATATAAAACACAACACCAATTAGTTTTTATTAAAGGGGCGAAATAAGAGACTGAAATAATGTTTCCAAACTTTTTTTTGAGGAGTTTATTGAACTGTTTCTGTTGGAGGAGTTAGCTATGTGCTAATTTACATCTGTAGTCCCTGTTCAGGAGACAGATGCTGCATTCAGGTGCTGTTGGACACGTTGGAAAAAGGAGTTTCCGAGTTGTAGAACGCACATGAACACCTGATCAAGTCGGAACAGCAACTTGGAAACTAATGAGGTGCCCGACTTACCGACCTGAAGCCAGAATCATCCTCAACAGTGGGGAAAATGTGTTTTGCCAATGTTTACATAGTCCTACTTTCTACTGCACATAAACAGAACTCGTAACAGTTTGATTCCACAGATCTTCTTGTAGTAGATCTCAACATGATATCAATATGTAGTTGTATCAGAAACAGCTCCAGATGAAAACATGACACAGAAGCCTCATGTTTCTGCTGCTCAGAGTTTTATTAAGACTTTAACAAAACGGGAAACCTCTTTCATCTCTTTGTCTTTTTTCTTTCTTCCTGACACATGCACCTGACAAATTTAAAGAATTAAAAATGATTCAGCTTGAATTCAGACCAACACGGGGAGTTTAAAATAAATACCTCTTAAACGTTGAATGTTTGCAGCTCAATTAAAGTAAAAGGGACAATTTAAGGAAACGTGATGCAAAAAAACGATGTCATGATACTCAGACCCAGGACAGGACAATCCCCCCCCCCAAAGATGAACTCTAAGTAACCCTGCAAAAGCAGTTTAAAGGAGTTCTAGTATCAGAAATACTAAACAACAAACAGTACAGAGAGAAAACTGTTATCCCTCATCCCGACCTCATATGAAGAAATATCTACTTTCTTTTTCTAAAGTTTGTTTAGTTTCATTTTACTGAGACTTCAAAACATCACCAGTTAAAACAGAAACATCTTTGAACCACCTTATGCAGAGCGACACAAAGTTCATTAAAGTGGAACTCTTCCTCCTCTGTCCTTTAATTAAAAACATTACCAATAAATGAGAAAGAGGAAGAAAAGGGGAGATTTTGGTTTCACATCATTTTAAACAAACGGCCAAAAGTAAAAACATTCAAATGAAAACTTGAAAAAAGAGAAAAGCTTATGATTTGCTTGTTTGTCTCATCCACAGACAGTGGATCCCTCGGCCCCTCTCCCCTCCGACTACCAGCCTCCTTTCCCTCCCTTCTTCTTCTTCTGTGGTGCCTTCTTGCGCGTAGCCCCCGAGGCTGCAGGTTTCTGCTGTCTTGGGGGGACCACGTTGCTGGCCGGTGCTGTAGTGGAGCCGGATGCTGACCCCGGTCTTGGGGAGGTAGGAGGACTGCTGGCTGTCTTACTCGCATCCCTGAAAACAGAGGAGACAAAAATCACATCAGGGAATAAGGTGTACGTTTCAGGGAAAATGTTTTTGCATCAAAAGCATCGGCACTAAGAGGTGGAGTCCAGCCATGATGCTGCTAATGCAATAAAAAATAAATAAAATAAAACTTTATCTTAACCTTACCTAGGGCAGGGTGTCTGTTTGGGTGTTTTTCTGCTTTTTTTTTTTTTTTTCTTTGTAGTTGTTTTAAAAAATATATATATATATTTTTTTAACCCTATTTCTTTTTTCTGTACTGTGCCAAAAAAAATAAAATAAAAAGCATCGGCAAAAGTCTTGTGCATGCAGTGTTATTCAACATGCCGTTCCCAGAAAACATCTGATCGGGAACGTTCAGCACAGATGTTAAAGAGATGAATTCATGAGAAATCACTAACAAAAAGTTACAAATCTTTTTTACATCTTGGTGATACATTTGTAAAACACTACTCTGCACCTTGCAGGACATGCACTGGCTGGGATCAAAACTGCTCCCATTGAGCTTTTTATGTGTAATCACTTTTAGAATGTGAATAAAAGTTTATGAATATGGACGTGTTAAAAAGTCAATATTTAGTTTCGTATCACTAAAAGTAGCACACAGCTGGCTCTCTGCTTTCCTTCCCCTCGTGTAGAGGCATTCATGATAGTGCTAACACATGTTTATGTTTATATAAACAAACAAGCAGCTTCTTCCATACAGCAGAAAAAACATCTGCACCCAGGAGTCATTGGCAGGAAAACAGAGGGACAACTCCACTCAGTCGATGTGCATTACTCACAGCTCGGCTGACGCTCCGGCTGTCGCTCCCTGTGTGCCTTTCCCGATCTGCTCCTTCTTCTTTCCCTTCTTCTTGCCTCTGTAGTATGAACGCTCCCTCATGGGCAGCCACCTCTCCGGGTCAGGAGTCGCTTTGGGGTCGCAGTTTTTGGGCAGTTTGCCTAAACAGAAGACGATCAGGAGGAAACAGTGAAGAGCGTGTCAGAAAATAAATCTGATTTGTAGCCTATAACTAGATCACACTGAAAGTTTGAAGATGTCAGTTACGTGTCTCTTATCACAGGAAATAAGCTTCATCATATCTGTGTAATTCCTACTGCTGGCCTGTAGGGGTCCACAGTTTTCACTACATCGCTCTGCTCCTATAGGTCGTCCACAGAGGTTATTAAACCATTTTAACAGAAGATTTGTTCAGTCTTTATTTCTTATTTGAATCCTGATGACAGCAGATAACAGACACTTAAAAAACTCACAA